GATTTCGGCAAATTTAAATTGTTATTGCAAAAAATTGTTAATAAATGACTAAAGTAACTATTGGAACATAAAATATAATCTCTCTAGAGTATCCCAGAATTTTTTCAGATTTTTTAGATGATTGATTTTTTTTCGAATTTTCGGAGAACGGATGACGCTACGAGTTTAATACTTTAAAGGGACGTCTACATTGGAAGTAAATAGCAAGAAGTAGGAAGTAAGAGTAAGAAATTGACCAACCACAGTCGAATGTGAGAAGAATAGTCAACTATGATTGGTCAATTTCTTATTCTTACTTCCTACTTCTTACTGCTTACTTCCAATGTAGACGTCCTTAAAAACTATAATTCTTAAGCCTAGCACAACTCAGAACAAAAAGATCTCGGTTGGAACAAGAAAGGAAGCATGTGTTTACTCTTGACGTCGAGTACTGTCAAATCGATTTTTTTACGAATTTTCGGAGAACGAATGATCTTATGAGTCTCATACTCTAGAACTATAATTCTTAAGCCTAGAACAACTCAGAACAAAAAGATCTCGGTTGGAACAAGAAAGATAGTATAAGTTTACTCTTGGTCCGATAGACTGTTTGTCAAAAAACTTTTTTTTAATTTTTCGGGCTTATAATTAAACTTATTGATTTGTGCTTTTGGAACAATGTTTGGAACAACTAGAACAATCTATATCGGTATCGGAATGCTTTATTTTCAAAAAATGGGGTGCCAGGTCAAAAACATTTTTTTCATTTTTTGGACTTATAATTCAACTTACGGATTTGTCCTTTTGGAACAATGTTTGGAACAACTAGAACAATCTATTGCGGTATCAGAATGTTCGATTTTCGAAAAGTGGGGTGCCAGCTCAAAAAATCATTTTTTTTGTTTTATTCGAAAACCGTTTCGAATGAAGCAATATCACTTTAGAACAATGTGGTACAAAGTCAGAACAATCTGGAACAACTTTCAAAATTATAAATTTCAAAAAGTGGGGTGCCAACTTCATACACTCATAAGTTAGAGTGAGAAAAGATATACTTGTCTCACTTTAACTTATTGGACCAGTTCAGCAGTGCAGCTGAAAAGAACAGACTAAAGATAAAATGATGCTTATGCGTCGTCTACAATAGCAGTAGAAGTAGTAGTAGAAATAAGCAGTAAGTATGGACCAGTCACAGTCGATTATTCTTGAATCGTGAGAATGGAATTGGTCAATTTACTTACTGCTTATTTCTTACTACTACTCCATTGTAGACGACGCATTACAGCGCATAAGCGCCTAAAGCGAACGCAGCCTTTGACATTTGATCGAAGTCCAAAAGTGCAAACCAATCAGATTCAAGAGTTCAGCATCATACTCGATACATCCGACGAATGTATCGAGATGTTTGATACTCGATACCCGACGACGCGCTGTCCAATGTGAGAACATGCTCTCAAGACAGGCAGCGACGTTCCTTTGCTTCTAGAATTTTCTAGGGGTTATGTTCCTTTCAGATGAACTGGTATTGCGCCGCAACTTCGTTCTCCTTCTCTCTCTTCAATACTGAATTGTATATACTTGTTTCACGCCACAAGTGAAAAGTGCAACTCAATTCAGCCAAAAGGAACCATTACCATACCGCTGCAGATACATTCGATTCTACAAAGGTTGCAACACTTTCGCGTATAGATTTCTTTTTTAATTTTTTTATTTATTCGATTGTCTAATGCAATAAAACCAAGCGACTCACGAGGACTTCGCTCCTAGCTCCGTGATTTTTCGCGAAAAGAGAATCGACGCGTGACGAAGGAGTCGTATGAAATTGCGGATCGCATCGAGCCTCGTCGCAGAGTCTAGATTTGTGCACTTGGAAGCGATCGATTGAATCTCCGCGCGCGTTATTCCGAATTAATAATTAACATTGGCGTACCTTTCGTTGTCTCACGTTCATGTTTCGTCGTTGCAGTTGAGCAAAATCTATGTCGGATGATCGGGACGGTCGGCTAACTCGGAAAGGGGACCCCGAGATTACACGTGACACATAGTATTACGACAGACTGCTACGGACGAAATCGTCAGTTCACCCACGACGCAACGGTTCATCGTCGCTCAAGTGCCCGGCATTCATGTCCGTGAGAAAAATACGCGTGCACAACGTTGTGTGGGATATTTGTGACTGCGACTCATTATGACATGGCACGTTCAGTAGCGTCCCAAGGCCTCTTCAATACGTATTTTCTTGTTCTTATAATAAAGCGACATGAATATACAAAGAAACGAAGAGAGAAAAGGAAGGAGCTAAGCTAGCCGTTACGACGTCACACTGCCCGATTACGAAACCGCGAAATGTACGCCACGTGATCACTTTGCGCTATAGGATGAAAAGAGCTATAGTATTTCGTTCGAAAAGAGAGAACTACTTCTTTTTCCGTTATCTCTCTGAGATTACTGTTATATATAAAAATTATGTGAAGATAAAGAGTACGATTCAATACTAAGAACACTGTGAAGTTGAGCCACTTTAATTCAGGAGTTTATCAGTCAGCAACTTTGGTGAGCGTTCAAGAAGACCACTATTCACTCCCGTTTTCGTAATCACAAGTGATAATCCCAAGATGGGATTGACAAGTCATTACTACTTACTCTTTCGATTGTGCAATAAGGTTAGATAATGAACCTGATTACAGCTTATATACTTCTGTAATCTAAGTTACTGTTACAATTTATAAATGTTAATTTATTTGCGATGAGATTAAATACGTTAATGTGAGTAACCACGTGAATTTAATAGTCTTGTCAAGGTTTCTACGTTTTTAATATATTACATGAATATTATCGTAATGTGCGCCCATATTTGTGAATGAAAAAAATATACAATACTAATGCATAATTTAAATATATAAGATAAAAGAGAAGTTAAATTTATATTGTTGTACTTATGGTTCTTGTTATTATAGTTGATATTTCTTTTTTCACTTGTTATATAATATTTTCTAGATAATAACTTATTTTATATTTTTATTATATTTTTTTACTATATTATTTTTTTACTATATTATATTTTATTATATTTACTATATTATATTTTATTTGCATATGTACATAGATAAAACATTATTAATGTATATACCTCTTTTTCTATTGATATAAAAATTATACAACTAATGTTAAAATATATTGTATATATATATTAATAAATATACATATTTTATGAGTATATATTCAACCCATATAATCTAGTATTTAATTTTTCTATTATGTACCATTCACTTTATTTATATCATATAAAGAGCGAGAAGGCAACTTAATATCAACTATTGTTCAAAGGTTAGAACTCTTTTCCATTCTAAAAATAGGTTCCAACTCAACAAACATATTTTTAGGTCTTGATTCTCCAGACTTCTACGCAGTGTGAAATATGCTAACACCAACTTCCACATTGATAAGTTTTAACAAAGCAGATTTTATCTAAACGGAGGAATTTATATGCAAATATTTAAGAATTTTTGATACCTCATTGGAGAAGATAAACTATTGTACTTAGTTTAACAAACTATATTGGTAAGAATAAGTGATTCAAGCATTCAATATATAAGAATTATTTGCCTCAATATATCATGTCTTCTAACACAATATATGTGGTAATAAATAACTCTAAAAATGAATTCAAAGGAGAATTGAACAGAGTTATTTACATTCTCAGGAACAACTTACATAAAACTTGGAAAGCTGGTTTATATTTACTCAAATAATTATTTTCCTCAAATATTTTATATTGTGTAAACCATTCTTTTATTTAGACCACAAAAATGGTTCATCGCACCACAGATAATCTTCTAAAAGAAGCTGTCATCCAAATTGGAGCTGGAGGATCAGCAGGTTTCATTGAGGTTTGCATAATGCATCCAATGGATCTTGTCAAGACACGTTTTCAACTTCAAGTAAAAACAGCAAAGTCAGACCCATTGTATTATACAGGTACTTGATACAATGTGCAATAACAATTTTTATATCAATATTATACATAAGCTATGCTAGTACTGTTATATAGGAATTCGTGATTGTATGACCAAAATGTATAAGACTGAAGGACTACCAGCATTTTGGAAAGGAATACTACCTCCAATAATTGTAGAAACTCCTAAACGTGCTGTCAAAGTGAGTCACTTGTCCATTGGGTGAAACTCAAGCAAAGTAGAAGGCTTTTTTTCTCATACATGTTATACTTTTTTAGTTTTTTACATTCGAGCAATATAAACAGTTCTTCTTATTTGGCGCTAGTGCACCCACTCCATTGGTAACTACATAATAGTAATATAATCGTTACTTTAGAAACTTGCTGATAAACTATTCACAATTCGTGTTATTACAGACCTTTTCGTGCGCCGGTTTTTTCGCCGGGTTTACAGAGGCTATATTGGTCAATCCTTTTGAGGTCGTTAAAGTGAAACTACAATCTAATCGAAAGCATGTCAAAGAGAGCCCGTCAACGTTCGCGATAACGAGAGAAATTATATCAAAGCATGGTTTTGGTACAAATGGCTTAAACAAAGGCCTGACAGCCACTATAATGAGAAACGCTGTGTTCAATTCGTTCTATTTTGGTTTTTATCACTCTGTCAAAGGATATATACCAGTCAAAGAAGAACCTTGGTTGGAATTTCTAACTAAAGTAATCAGAGAATCATAATTAAGTTAAATTAGATCTAATTTAATTACATCACAATAGCACATTGACTTTCTTATACAATGGAAACTTTCTAGGTTGCTGTAGGATTTGTGTCAGGTACTGTTGCTTCATGTTTGAACATACCATTTGATGTTGCCAAAAGTCGCATTCAAGGTTCACAGGATAATACACAATACAGAGGAACACTGAACACTATGTATATTGTTTACAAGAGAGAAGGGTATTTATATATAATTCATTTACATAGAATTATGCATGGTTTTGCTCACTCATATGTTACTTTTACATTATCTCAGATTCAGAGCTTTGTACAAAGGCTTAGTGCCAAAGGTGTTGAGATTAGGCCCAGGTGGTGCCATCATGCTTGTTGTATATGACTATACGCATGCGTATCTTACAAGGAAATTCAAAGAATAATTTTTATGCTGCATTTAAAGGAATTATAAGATAACTATAAGGACAAGTTATTCTCCAAGAAGATGCATTTCTTACACATACATACATACATATATATATATATTATATATATATATATATATATATATATATATATATATATATATATATATATATATATATACATGTGTGTACGTTAAGAGCAGAATGAAAATTTATGATTTTGTTTTCATCTATTAACTGTATAAAAATATGACTTTATATGTTATATATGATAACTAGACAGATGCTCCATTAATAACCTTTCCTTTATATCAAATGATACTTTATTACTTTTTCATATAAAAAAAAAATTGAAATCAATCATCTAAGACAGAATCTAACCATTTCTCCAGGTCTAATGGTTTGGCTGGAATATTCTTTGATTTTGATTTAGAATCTGCAATAAGTTATAACAGAGTATAGTAGAACATTAAAGCATTGTTTTCTTCTAAAATCTTACCGTTATTAGAACACATAGAAGTAGAAGGTATACTAAAGGTCGTGATTTTCGGCAAATTCCTCTCAACAGGTTTATCTAAAGACAATAAAAAATCCACATCGTCTTCCAAGCTATCAAGATCTTGTGATAAAATTTTCTCGCTTTCCAACGATTCTAGTTGTTCCGTCCTGACATTCTCGTTCACCTCATTTCCCGTGAGTATAGTATTTAACGAACTAGACGTTTTCGCAACATTCAAAGTAGAATTGTGAGCTGCTTTGCTTTCCTCCGCTTTATTACAGATACTCGTTAGTTGATCGCTCTAAAATTGATTGTACGTGGAGATAGATATCATCAGGTCGAATCAATTGGAGAAACAACGCGAGTGCGTACACAATGTCTCTTCTGAGTACTTACTGTGAAGTACCTATCATCTACGTCGACGTACTCATTGAAGGGAATACTATTGAATGCGACTGACAGTGTGTTTAGATTCAAGGTGAAAAATTCCGAGTATTCCGACGAAAAGTCAACGGCAGACCAATCCTTCTCCGATTTGAAGACGAAATGCCCGCCTTTCGAGAGCGGCATGTTTACGAGAGAGCCGAAATCTTTGCCTACATCCTTGTCGTCTGCAGACAGAAAATGCTGTGGATTCCTTTTCGCGCTCATTTTGTTCCCTTTCATTTTTGTGATTTGTGCCGATCAGCATTGTTTGAACTCAGCACTATTTCGATCCGTCCATTAACGCATCTTCTTTCTCAACAAATTAAGGATAAAGTTGATAACGTTATAGTGTGAGGGATCACTGCTAGATGGTGCATCGAGTGGCATTATCGCATAGAGGGCACACTTGTTCCAGATGGTCAACTGCGATGTTATTTATCCGAAGTATCGATCTTTACAGCCTTCGATTGACTACGGATGCGATACTATCGATCGTCTTGGCGCGATATTACGTACGTTTAAACATAAGATTTGATCACTAAATACGCCTTACTTCTAGCATGTTCGACTGGCTCTGGGTTATTCAGCCTACGTTTATTGATTGAATAAGTACTTATAAGCTTTATGATTGGCTAGTAGAGACTTATGACGTCATTAACTGCTCTCGAAGCGATTAACCCAAGGCCAGTCGAACACGCTATCAGGGCTAAGGTAAAAAAAAAAAAACGTAAACGTAAGGCTAATAGTCTTTCATGATTTACATTTTTCTCTGCCTTACTCTACGTCAACGACTACGACGTTTACATCTCGTTCTCTGCTTTAGCCCTAATTCTCAACCAAGCAACTTTATACGAGACGCTCATGTAAAGCCTTGTGTCCACGATGCTAGAAATCAGTCTGAGAAACGTGTAATTAATAAAACTCTCGCTGAAACAGTTGCAAATGGATTGGTTGCTTTTTTCTCTTTCACAAGGCTTAAGAAAAACAGAACTTCGAATAGAAAAGGATGTACTTAGCGTTCGAACATACGACAATACAGTTTCCTGTTTCAGAGAATACGATATCTTATAAAAAATGTAAATTTAATAATAATCTTAAAATTAGACTTTCTCTAAATATATATAAAGTAGCGGTCACTCTCCCTTCATTCGTCATAAATGTTAAAAAACATATCGAATAAGATCTAATAAAAAAGAAAGAAATCGAATCCGATAGAAACAACGTTTATTGATGAAATGCTATGATAAAGTTTGATCAATCAGTCGCAGGTAAAATTCAAAATAGAACGAAGCTCTCTTAGAGGAAACGGAGGAGGTATCAGGATGGTGGAGGGAGGGGTGGCGAAAGAGGTATACGAACTTTTATTTATTTTCATATAGTTATATATATGTATATATATATATATATATATGTATATATGCATGTATGCATCTGCCTAAAGCGGACGTTGGCATGCAACAAACCATTATTGATAAAGAATATGATCAGTTTTGACCTTCGGGAGCACCTTTCGCTCGTCGCTATTTGCAAAAGATTTTCGATGTTTCTTGCACGTAAATGTTCGGCCAGTTTCACCCCCCAACCAAACGACTCGTCCCGGTCGGGGGCCTGACGATCAACGATTCTGACTGTCTTGAGGCTTGCATTATTTGACGCTTGAAGTTTTCTTCTAGCCCTGAGACTTCTCAGCCGGAAATGAATGCGGAATTCGGATCATATTCTTTGTCACTAGCGCGAGAAAAGCTTCGGGTTCTTGACAATGTGAGCAAGATAAACGTGTTCTTCGGATATCTTGTCTTCGACTTTTCAAAACTCATTTTTTCAGAGTGAAACTTCAAACTTCCCTCTATCATCCAAAACCTCTTGATTCAAAACCTTATAAACAAACAAACAGGTTAGAGAACATACTTCTATCTCTAGGTACAGTATTATTATTTGCGTTTTTTTCCGTTTTGTTTGTCTATTTTCGTTTTTATTTATTTATATATTTCTTTTTCACGAGAGACTTTCAGAAATGTTATCATATATACTTTTTAAAATCTTGTCATACTATGGCTGGAATACAGCTAGCTAAGAGATAATAAATCCTAGCGATTCAACTAGCCAAAATATGCGGTAATGCTCAACTGTATTCCAACCTTCACAGAATATAAACATTTTTTATGTAATTTAAACCTCATCTTCATAATTATTATTAGAAAGTAAGGCGAATAAGGTTATTATTATGAAAATAAGGTTTTACATCCATTCCAACCTTTCACCTTGTCTGCCATTATTAAAATCATCAACCGATATTATTTAATAATAATGATTGGTATGCGAACTAGCATACAATTTAAGGATCAGGTGAAAAGTAAGGTAAGAATGTATCAATGCGAATGTATCATTTCTAAGTCTCTCTGTTTTTGACACGTTATCGATAGAGAGAAGAAATATTCGGGTCAGACAAATCCTGTACACCCTGGCCTCTCGCATCTCGCGTGTCACTTAATATCGACCTGAAAAATTCATTAAGCAACAACTATGATAGTTGGAACTAAGTTACGCAGAGTTGCGCTTAGTTACTACCATACGACTTATCTTGACGTTCCCGTCTGCCACACTTTCGCTCTAATTTACGTACTTACTTTGTCTCCAATTTATATTAATTACACTTGAACTAGAAATATAAGCGGTCTACGAATCCAATGGAATATTGTGGCGCGAGTTGTTCGAGAATTCTTTCCAATATAAGATGTGCTGTGCGCATTAAAAAATCATCTTTCTTGAAGTATACAGGTAATACTAGCACTTATGTATTTAATCAGTACAATTGTTTCCTTCTTATGCAACAAGTGTCGAAGTTCTTACATGAATTAATCTTTATCAGATTTCTATAATTATTTCCAAGAAGTTAACAAAGTCATATAAGTCACGATGAAACACACGACAGAATATCCAGCCGTAAATGTTATGAACGCAAGCTGTATCTCTCTTCAAAAACGCCTGAACTTCATAAAATATGCGAAATTATTACACGTGTAAAGTAATCCTACTGTCATAAACGTTTCTCAGAATGGATAAATACTGAGAAGAAATATACATAAAGTAAAATGTGAAAATATGAGAAGAACAAACACATTACGATTTTGTGTAACAACTTCTGAGAGAGAAAGTTAGGTGAACGACTTGCAATTCTGTATTCGTATTTACACGCGTTTCGCATTCTGATATATATAGTTCTGATGTAGGAATAACGCCATATTCATGTAGACTGCTTATATTATTGGTTTACGAATCACAGTGGAAAGTTATACTTACGTGGCGTGTAGGAGCGTGACCTGGAACGATCGTAGCGGGAACGCCGACGACTGTAATAAGGACTGGGTGAGCGGCGGTAACTGCCTCTGTAGCTGATCCTAGTTTTCCATGGGAATTAAACAAACGGTAGCAAATTAGAATTGAAACCAAAGGAGGGTAAGTATTTTGTGAAACTATTTGGAAAGTGTCTTGAATCGTATAATTTATTAATATTCTCTAAATTTCAGGGGAAAGGAAATTGTTCTGATCCATTCCGAACGGTTCTACAGTAGTTTCGCCGGTTTAAGTAATTGAGGATTATTTTGGGACTCACTCTCTACGTCTAGGTCCGTCCCAGTTTCTGTCGTGCAAATGCGTAGGTTTGCCCATGTAAATTCCTGGCGTAGGAGTGTGAGCGCGCTGTGTGATTGAGAAATCGACTCTTATTCGTCTGCCGTCTATCTCCATTCCAGTGCACTGCTCCTTGGCTACCTTAGCATCTTCCGACGATTCAAAGTACACGAAACAAAACCCTCGTGAGCGACCAGTCTGCAACAAAAGTGTTTGTTATATTGGTGAAACAATACTATAGCAAATTGCTAAGATATAGATGCTTGTGGCCAGATGCCTTTAACGTATTACATGAACTTCAAGTATAAACGTTCTAAATCTCTGGCGTTTATTATCCCCATCGTTGTTCAAATATAATCTTGCATAATAAATGCACGATTATAAATGCTTATGGGGTACGACAGCAGATCGTTACAACACATTGCATCGCACATAAGCAGATCTGTACATACCTTCGCATCGATAACAACTTGAACTCGCTCAACAGGGCCGTATTTTGAGAATATGTGATGGATTTGCTGTTCTGTGGTGAAAATAGACAGTCCAAATACACCTAGGCATCGGGAGGGGCAAGGATTGTCGCGATTGCCGACGTGTCGTCGTCTAGAAGACATAGGACTGCGGGAGTGCGAGCGATATACATGTCGGTCGCGGGAATATCGAGATCGCGAATATGAGCGTGATCTGCTGCGTGAATAACGAACGCCTCTGTACGGCGAACGACTGCGGCTGCGACTACTGCCGCGATGGCCCGAACTGGTGTATTTGCTGCCGCGATACGACTTGCGACCACGTGATACTGAACGACTGCGCGATCTCGAATATTTGCCATCTCTATGTGAGTCCTTGCGCTCACGCGATTTTCGTGATCTCGAGTGCGATCGTGAGTCTCTTAGGCCACCGTCTGCGGTCCTGGGTCTTCGAGGGCTTGCGCTGCGACTGCTACTCCTCTGTAAATTACAAGCAATTCATTAGCAAGATGATACTCTTCTTATTATATTTTATATTGTTATTTTATTTATATATATATATATATATATATATATATATATATATATATATATATATATATATATATATATA